CCCCAAAACCCCAAAACCCCAAAACCCCAAAACCCCTTTTGTTTTTAGTAATATTGAAATGGAATCAAAGTAAGTAAGAAATTAACAGAAAATAGTTTCCAATGGGTCTTCATGGGGACCAACTATAATTATTGTTTGATGCAAGAGAATCGTGAGAAGGATTATGAGTCGTAAGCCAGCAAATTTTCACCCATAGCATTACTCCTTTCTCTGAATCACATTCAGAATTCTTAAATAAACTTGAAAATATCTACACTGGACCTAAACACTGAATTGGAACGTTTCATGACAAATTATACATCTGGGGTGAAACTAATGTTGACTTCGATCAAGAAGATGAGAATGGAGCAAAATGGGAAGTAGTTCCTCTCCCTGATTCTAAAGATACATCCACTTTCAACAAATCTGCATGTAAAGAAATGCTTTTAGATATCCCACTTAGCATTACATTCCATGAAAGAGTTAAGCAAGTTTCCATAGGGTTTGACCACTCTTTGTTGGTACTTGAGAATTCGAATTTTGTATACTCACAAGGAATTGGAAAGCAAGGAGAGCTAGGCCTTGGAGATCAAACTAAAGGTAAATCTCTGGTTAAATATCTATAGCTGGAGTCTTTAAAAGAATCAGCACTGAATTTTCACAGGGAGTTAGGTAAGAACTGCTCAATCAATTTTGTAGGTCTGTTAAAGCAGGAGTCAAAAGATCATTCCTAATTACTCAAGATTTTCAAGTTTATGCCTGGGGAACTACTGATTTTGCAAAGAAAATTAACGTTCCTCAACATTTTAAAGAACTTGATGAGCATCTTATAACTGACATTGTTCTTGGCTTCAAGCATAATTGGTACCTAAGCAGGAATCCTGAAGGAGAAATTAACTCTCTTCTTTGTTCTGGAGATAACAAGAAGGGTCAGCTAGGATTTGATTCTTCCAGAAAATCAACTTCTTTATAGGTAACGAAAGAATTAGAACTTATTTGTTACTAGATCCAAAGTAAAAATGCCAGCTTTCTTGAGCAAAAGCTTAAGAATTATTGGCAGAAAGTATTGTTTCGACCCTTGAAACTTTATCTTTCTAAATTTTAGCCTCAGTATTTTGCATCTAAACTTTTAATAGAAATGAGATCAGAGCTACTTAAGAATTTAGAGAAATTAGGAATTCAGAAGGTTGATATCCAATGCACTTGGAACAGCACTATAATATTGGGAATGTGGGGAGAAACCCAAGTTGTGCTCATCACAGGGTCTACAAAATACGGAGTTGTTGATCCAGAAAAAGACTTACTTTTATTAGACTCTGATAAGGTTTGCAACAAAGAGGACTTTGAAGAGCTAAAGTATTTTTACCTTAAAGATCTGGGTGAAGAGCTAAATAATTCGGGAATTACCAAATTTTTGACTCTTAATGAATCTTTCTTTGTGGTTACAGAAAAGAATGAGGTTTATGGATGGGGCTGGAACGAACATGGAAATCTTGGAGTCGGAACACTCGAAGATGAATCTACTCCTACCTTGATCACCCCAAATGTGAAGAATATTTATGGAAATGGTGCATACACAATAATTAATTATCATGATGATTAAGGTTTATGCTAATTCGACCTCTCTGTTCTTTTTTAACCTTGCTTTGAGAACTTTCAGTATCGAAATTCTTTTTGACATCTCTCGTAGAGGAAGTTTATGCACATTCCCATTCTTTAGTTTGTCTTTAAAGTCTTTGAACTTATGGTCAAAAGATTTGATTTGATTATTAGCTTCTATTTCATATCGGTTCAAAATATGATCTTCTGGCTTAATCTGCTTCTTAGTAATTTTAGCTAAAATATGTTTGTGTCTCTTCCTTCGAGACTTAGAGATAAAGTGCTTATTTACTGAATTTGATTGATTATAAAAGTCATCAACTTTAGGGATTACTAAAGGTTGATTTCAGAAAAACTTACAAAATGAGTGCTCTTTCTGTACAGGAACTTGAAAGCTGTTATGGCTGAAATCAGGACTAACCAGGGCTTCTGAACAATTTACTAAAATCTTTTTGAGATCTCCTTGAAATTGATTTGAATTGGCAGACTTTAAAACCTTCCTTCTACTGATCGATTTTTCGAATTTTCTTGCAGAGAAAGCATTAATGCTCTTTCTTAGCACACTATTTCATTTCCTACGCTGTGTTTGCCTAGTTCAAACACCTAAAACTTATATCCCTAACACAAACCTAAAATCCTATTGCTACTAGGAGTATTCAAATTCTGTCTAAATCTCTCTTGAAGAAGCTTCCTCTTATTATTTTAAATCAGCTGTCCAAGAACTTTGAGCTCTGAAAGGATCCTCAAGCCCCATAAAACCATATTTATTACTTTTCTTACAAACATTACCCACTACTGCACAAATCTCAAAAAACTTTGTTTAGGCTCCAAGCCAAATCTCAGGAATTTTTTCAGCTAAAATGTTGGGAATTTTTAGGGATTTTGGGCTTATTTGAGACCCTGCGCGTGAAAGAGGGGGTTACGGCTGAAGAAGAGAGAGGAGGGTTTTGAGAAGGAGGTCTGGAGGTGGTTTTAGTGGAGATGTAGGATTCTGAAGGTGAGAAGGAGGAGTACTGAGAGCTTTGTTGTTCTGGAGAAGGATTTTTAGGGGTTCTTGGGTGGAGAATTTGTTTGTTTTGTGAGTTTTTAGTGGGGAGAGCGATTCTATGAGGGTTAGAAGGGTCGAAACCTTTTATTTGGCTCTTGAGTTTTTCGTAGATGCTGGAGTTTATCATTGCTTGTTGGAAATTTTGGAAATTAATTCAATTATAGAAGAGAAATTGGGGTTTTGGGGTTTTGGGGTTTTGGGG